TCAATGCTTATAATAAAATCATTTAATTTGATAAAAATTATAAAGTACTTTGCTTACTTTTTGGATTTCATTCAAATTTTGTTTGAATTCAAAATTTTATTGAGGAGAATTTTATTCAAACACTAATCGGATGACTACCTGTGGGTCAACCATAGGTTGACCACCCGTGGGCAGAGTTGGCACATTTGTCCATTGAGTCCAATGGACAAGACCTTCATTGACATTGGTCCCTTGCTCCATTGAGAATAATTTGCCAATGGAGCCAATGGAGTCCAACTAAATTATAATATAGTATATATACATATTATATTACATATATTATATATTTTAATTTATACAATTATTAATAACTTTTGATCTACTGGTCCGTTTTGGATGATTTGACCACCAAAGTGTTCGTCTTAATGAGAGGATTCTAACAAAGTCAAAATCGCTAAAATCCAATCACAGGATCCCAAGATCGTTCAAATTTTGTGCGATTTTAATAAGAGTTAAAAACTCTTATTAAAATCATGTAAAATTTGAATATCTTGGAATCCTGTGATTGAATTTTAGCGATTTTGACTTTGTTAGAATCCTCTCATTAAGACGAACACTTTGGTAGTCAAATAATTCAAAATGGATCAGTAGATCGAAAGTTATTAATGATTCTATAAATTAAAATATATATAATTAATAATATAAATATGATTGGCTAGTTCAATGGAGCAATGGAGCTAATGGATACTATCCATTGGGTCCATTGGGTCCATTGATAATTTTTCCAATGAACCTTATCTATTGCCAACCCTGCTCATGGGTTACCTACCTGTTTTTACCTAGGTTACTACAACTCTAACCCAGTTTACCCATCTACCTACAGGTGACCCGAGTTGTACCCACCCGGTTCAATCCCTATATTGACCACAATGCCAAAAAATAAATTTTCTTTGAGTGATACAATGATGATAGCAGAATCTTATGGAGAAAAATGCTTTTCCAAAGAATATATCAATTGTGAAATTCCAATGCTTTGGGAATGTAGCGAATACTATCAATGGAAGTGTTCTTTTCGATCTATTAAAAATCGCCATTCATGGTGTTCTTACTGCTCAAATAGAAAACTCAATATTTCAGTGGCCAAAGAACTGGCATGCGCTAAAAATAGATAGTGTATTTCTGAGAATTACGTTAATATTAACTTACCTCTTTTATGGGAATGTGAAAATAGTCATCAGTTTCTCCTTTCTCTTTCAAATATCAAAAATGGAAAAAATTGGTATCGTGAGTATATGAAACTTGGACTTGAATTTGCCCAGAATCTTGCAAATAAAAGGAGTGGGACATGTCTTTCTAGTTCTTATCATAACAGATGTACTTCGCTATCTTGGAAATGTTCTAAAAAACATTCATGGTTTGCTCGAATCGATAGTATTTAAAGAAGGACTTGGTGCCCACATTGGTTCTACCACAAAATCCTGAAAACCATTTTCCCGAAAGAGCATAATACCAACTAAATTGGCCAACATTATAACTAATGCTGGCTAACCTTGTCGGTATTAGGTCCTTTCGGGAATATGTCTTTCAGGATTTTGTGGTAAAACCGCCCACATTGTGTAGGTAAGTCTGAGAAACTTGACATTGAATATGCGAAAGAATTAGTACGTAGCAGAAATTGAGAGTGTTTATTCGATGTTTACATCAATTATACAATGCATTTACGCTAGAGATATTCCAAATCACATAAATGGCTCGCTTCCTTCAATTGTATTAAGAACAAGAACTATTGGTATCTATATTGCGCTAGCACAAAACTTGATATTTCAGTAGCCAAAGCTATTGCATATAGTCGAGGAGGGGAATGCTTAATAGATTCTTATACCAATTGCAAAAGCCAGTTACTCTGGAGATGCAATAAAAACCATCAATGGTATGCTACTCTTTCTCATGTAAAAAATGATAATACATGGTATCCATATTGCTCTAAATATAAACGTGAAAGTTTGTGTCGAGAGATTATGTCAAAATATCTTAGACCGCCATCTAAGATACGTCAACCTGATTTTCTTAAAACTTTAGATCACCTAACTGGATTAGAACTTGACATTTATTATCTGCAATATGGATTTGCAACTGAAGTACAAGGAGAACAACACGAAAGATATATAGAATTCTTTTATAATGGTGATCCCAATAATTTCACTAAACAACAAGAGCAGGATCAACTCAAGAAAGAATTATGTGAAGAAAACTAGATCATTTTAAGGTATGTTTAGTACTACGAGAACCTATATGTAGTTATTCCAGAACATCTTCGAGAATTGGGTCTCATTAAATAAACTCGAAACTTTAAATTCTAATTGTTAAATATTACAGTATAGAAAAATCACTTTTTAATCAACTGAAAAAGCTTTGTTTTCAATATATGATTGAACTGCAAAGAGAAATATATCAATGAAATTATTGTATTCGTAATTTATATAAGATCAATATTTTTGAATCAGTTCAAGATGCCTACATATTACAACTATTTTTTAACATCAATCCAACTGGAGAAGAGCGTTTGCGTATGAAAGTCACGAAGGTCTTTGTTCAGCTCTTGCATCATCAAAGGATGCTTTAACATCATGAACCAATAGCTAAATTTATAAATACATATGATTAGTGGAAGTTTAATATCATAACGTAAATCCACATTAATACATACCGACCATTTCAATACACTTTCATAGAAATAAACAAAATTTTTCATTTCAGAAAATTTTCGAGGAAGATTGGCATTATCAATCTCGTTTAATCTATACGTTCCTGAATTAATATTTAGTAACAAATCATCAGTATATTCTTACAGTATAATTTTTCAATAGAAAGAAAACATATATCATAATAATCAAGAAAATATAAATATATCCGAAGATGAAAACTTTGTCCACTGAATACATACAACTTCTTTGGTAAACGTTGCCTGCTTTTGATAGTTTTCTTTACAATATTCGCGAATATATTCTTTAAATTATCTGTTATTTTTTTGATATTATCGGTTTCCTTTTTATCTTTTGTTACTGGTCTCGAGCCTTCAACATAAATAAGCTGATACTTATCAGCATCCATCATATAACCAACTCCATTAGCTCGATTACCATTAGTGTGATTTTTCGACGCTATCTCGCCGAATTCATAGTGTATACCAGCAATGTACTATAAAGAAGTGTCAAGACATGGGTGAACGAAAGCATTAAGATACACATGTTCTAATGTGCCAATATTTAAAAGTGGGTTCTGTTCTTCGAGTGAAAATGCCTTAATACTACACAAAAGAAAGAAATATTCAGAACAGAATCTGAAAAAATAAATTAATATAATGATAATGCATATATACAATTGTGACAATGTATGACGTAAAACTCGTACCACTGAATTCATTATGAAATCACCTTTTTCTGGTGCTCTTAAATCATCAATTTGGGAATTCTACTCCTCGGTTGTTAAGTTTTGTGAAAAAAAATTTACAAGAAATTCGTGAACATTTGCGAGGACTAACATCTCTATCATAGTATCCATTTCAATTAAATACGATGTTGCTACTTGTCTTGAAAGTTCTTTTAAAAAAGGCGATTTTAGTCAGAGATCAATTAGATCACTATCAGGGTATTGCGCTTTATAAATCATAAAAATCTTTTTTGATGCATTTGAGAGTTCAGTATTTCCTAAGATGTCTGTTATCTGGTAGAAAAAAATCAGTGTTAAACATATGTTGGTTTAAAGTGCATTATTAGATAACTACTTACAATATTATCTTGAATAGTTCTCTTCTTATCATTTCCTTGGGAGCGATTTTCGAAAGAATTCTCAGTCGTTGCTTCCTCTTCGTTTTCTTGAGAGGAGTCTTCATTTGTGTATGTAGTTTTTTCAGAGGAAGTTCCAACATCTATATCTATAAGTAATCCATGATAATTCAGTACAATTACTCTCCCACTTCTCGTTCTTTTTTCAGATTTAGTTTTGCACTTGTTTGTGAGGTGGAAAGGAAAAATGTCAATTTGTTATTTATGTTATAAATGATTGTTGATGTTCGCTATCCATTGTAAAGGAATTAATACGTTAATAGAGTCACCTTTTTTGCTGAAATTGTAGCTCCTTCAGTACCCGTCTTTTTTTCATCATCATCCATATCTTGACTATGTTTTCTCTGACGATTGTCGTTGTATATTGCTCCATCTCCAGTTGAAAGTTGGTTTACCTGTTTTATCTGTTTTACCTTCATATTGAATCGTACACACTCTTTTTTGTAGTTCTTTAGTGGTACAGTCCAGTTCTTGACAAAACAAAGAATAATAATGAAATGTTCAACAATAACAATATAAAGTAAAAGATAATAGAGTAAAAGAAGCACTGGACCAAGGGCTCTGTCTTTGTAAGACCTAAAGTCCCAGCTTGCACTAAGCATCGAACCTAAAGTTCATCACTGAAGACCTAAAGTCCCAGCTTGTACTAAGTGTCAAACCTAAAGTTCATCACTGTTCAGACAAACCTCATTTTACTTTATCAGCATGCATATTTTCCAGTTATCCAGTATTTCCCAAGCTTTTTTCTTCTTTGTCATGTTAAATCCAGGATTAGAATTTGCAATGTCTCAAAGATCTTTATGTATAAAACTCAGCAGTTCTTTCAAACCCTTTGGTTTTATTTTTGTATGGTAAAAGCCTATTACTTTGAGACACGTCCAATCTTCAATTATATTGTCGAGATAAAAATTGAGGTGTATAGATATGTTTTGTAGTAGGCTAAAAAAATCATTCATCTATTTCTGTTGTTCTAAAAGTCACGGGTCTGTGTCATAAGCGCAGTAACAAAATCCTCCACATGACTAGTAAAATATTTATTCGTACTTTAATGGAAAGATAACTGAATAAAAATTACAGAGGGTGCAAAATTTGCCTTATGATGAGGTATGCATAACAAGTCTGCTTGAAGGGGTAAAGGGAGCACTCAGGTAGTGAGACCTGGTTATGTATTGACCAAAGTTAGTCTAACGTATGTATCTGTGATTTCCACTTATATAGTCTTTGTGTCTCAACTGAAGCATTAATAATAATATACCAATAATATAAAAAATACATTAATAGCTATCTTCGAAAAAATGAATTTATTGTATTTGATCTTACTAGGTCAGAAGATGATCCTCTAGCAATTCGGTTAAGGTTTGATACTCTACTAGATTTGCAGAAAGAGATAGAGTTACAGCAAAAACGCCAGATAAAAAATGCATTACCTGCTGAGCCCATGAATTCTAAACCCAAAAAAACTGAAAAATCAGCTACATAAGTGTCCTGCTTCGCAGAAATGAAAAGTCTATTAGTATTAATCCCTTTTTTTCCTCATTTTTCAGAAAAAAGATATAGTATAAGCTACTAGAGTAATATATATAGAAGTAATATGTATATTTCTGCTATCTATTTTTCTGGCTTTGAGTGATAAAGTCTCAAGAAGATGAGATTTTTATTTTACATTAACACTTTTCTATCTGAGTTAATATAAAGAGCCAAGATGATTTGTTTGTTCACAAACTTCCAAAGTGGCTTGTTATGCAAGAAAATTATTGATAAAAAGATACTTAATTATGATCTCGAGAATAGCATTAGAAAAACAATAGACAACTACTTTATGCAAAAAAAATGTTATCAGCTTTCCTTTAGGAAAGATAATAAAATAAAGTCTAAAGTACTAGCTTTCAGAGATACCTCAGATGATTTTATTTTAAAGATATATATATGAATAAGTTATATAATTAATAAATCAAATAAATAGATAAATTACATCTAATAAATAAATAGATATATATAATAATTATGCATTACTAACCTGATGCATTTCTTCTCTAACTACTCATAATAATTTATAATGCTCAGAGAGTTCTTTAGCTTTGAGACTATCAGGCTTATATATAATCTTAATCTATTTTTGTTGTATGATCTTTACAGCTCTGATCTTTTTTGCTATTTCTCGAATATGTTTAACTCTATTGATAAGATTCTCTATTTGTAATTCATATCAATAAATAGCTAACCTTGTGTAAATATTGTTTTCAACTTCTGATTTTTGTTTAAGCTCTATATACTCTTTGAAACATATATCACAATATCTATTTCTAGTACAATTTGTACGTCAATGTTCCTCTATCTTATAATTGTGATATAATTTATATCCTACTCTTTTATCAACATAAACAAACTAATCACAGCTATAACATATAGCAATATTCACTTTAACAGCTATATGATAACTGAATCCTTCTGTAGATTCCATCTTTCTGGCAATAAGATATTGTTTATTGTAATCATTCAATTTATTGTTATTTCTATAATTCATTAATTGATTCCAGATTCAGTTCTTCTAATTAGATGATGTTTTCTCATCATGAATTACTAGAAATTGGTAGTTATCCCTCTACTCAATATCATTTAAAACTAGACAATTATCTGTATAGACTATATTTAATAATTAAGTAATTTAATATATTATAGTGTTTTTAGAGATTATGTAATTTATATCGTATTTAGAGATTTAGATCTATTTGATTTAATAACTATATACTAATGAATATTGCAATTCATTTTTTGTATAAATTAGATTATTAGATAAGTTTTATATATTTGAAGCTCTTGCATCAGTTCTCATTGTTGATTAAGAAGCAGGAGAGTAAAACAAAAAAAAATAAAAAATTAAGATTAAAATTATATTTTATATGAACCAAGTAAGCTTATCTTGTCTATTTTTTGTAGACTGAAAAACCACCTAAGCCAAAGTACTGAGCCACCAGAAATAATGATTATGCTCTTTCAAATATATAATATACAAAGCCAGAAACTCTATTGTTTTAAAAGTAGAAACGAAATTTTTTGCATAGCTGAATATACCCATAACAAGTAACCTGAATAGCTGATCTATCAACACAATAATTTTGTATAAGAAAATAAAAACAAATTATTTACTCAATTTATCTTTTCATTATCATTAATTGGTATTGAATCTTTCACTGTAAAATTTTTAGATCAATATTGTAGATTATGTTTATATAAATTCGAGGTAGAATAGTCTGGTGATCTTAGTGTAGTGGTTAGGTTGCCAGACTGCCATGCAAGAGGTCTGGGGTTCAAATCTTACTGTCGACGAATTTGAATAATTACTCAGACCTTTGTATCCAACTTACGGTAAACCCTGTTCGTTTCTGGGGTTGTA